ATTAGATTTTTTGGGGAAGCTGTTGTGACAACATGCTGCATTGTGAATAAGAGCCCAGCCACTGCCATAAATCTTAAAACATCACAAGAACTTTGGCAAGACACTCCCCCGGATTTGTCACACATGACAGTCTTTGGATGTTTAGCTTATGCTCATTCAAAAGAGGAAAAACTAGATCCAAGGGCTAAGAAATTTGCCTTTTTGGACTATCCCGAGGGTGTTAAAGGATACAAAGTATGGTTCTTAGAACCCAATAGCACTAAGACCCTAGAAAGTAGAGATGTAGTCTTTGACGAAGGAAAAATGGGATATATAGAGGATAAAACTAAGTCTAACCCTAGTGATACACCTACAACCACTAAAACTGTTTTAGTTCCAACTCAACCTACTTCCCAAACTAATCACATAGATCAGCCTCCTATAGAACGTGATACTACACCACCTATTATAGAATAGATATCTACACAGGAAGTAGAGGTTAAGGAGGAGGTAGATGATAACCAAGTATTGGCTAATTACCAACTAACTAGGGATAGGGTAAGAATAACATCTAGAGTACCCACTAGATCATATGGGTTTGCCGACCTTATATCTTATGCCCTATTAGTTGCCAATTACTTTGTGAATCAAGAACCACAAATTTTCATAGAAGCCACAAATGATAAGAACGAAGAGAAATGGTAGGCTACTATGAAGGAAGAGTATAATTCCTTGATAAAGAATAAAACTTGGATTCATGTAGACAAACCATTAAAAGCTAAGACAATAAGTTGTAACTGGATCTATAAGGTTAAAAAGAATCTGTAACGCCCAAGGATTTTCAACGTCTCAAACGGGAACCGTTACCAAAACTACCTAAGAATTCCACTTAAACAAGAGACATGACCACAACAACCAAGCCTAAGCAAGAAATCCACCCCGCTTTTGCTACACTACTTTGATCCCAACACTCACGAAAAGTTGAACAAAGCAAACCAACCAACACTAAAGGTTTAACCAAAACATCACTCACGAGAACAAAACAACTTTTTACCCTACAGCTTCACCAAAAACTTTATTAACTTTAAAATACTCAATCCCACATATCGACAATTAAACAAAGCTTAAACCCTTAAGAGAAAAGAGTATCCAACACCTAGAACATATTTCAGTTAGAACAAGGTAACTCTCGTAAGGAACAAAAACTCAATAAAGTCTTGCTATTATGTAAAAACCACAACCTTAAGCGGAAA